AGGAGTATTGCTTGAGCCAGAGTTTGAGTTGCTGTGAGCTAGCTGACGCCACGGCACTCACTCAGGCCTAGGCAAGAAAGCGGAACTCTGTCTCAAAAAAAAAAATAAAAAAAATAATAATAAAATGATAATGGCTGAGAATTTCCAGGACTGGCAAAGATTATAACTCCTCAGATTCCAGAAGCACAGTAAGTCCTGAAACGTATAAATAAAAGTAAATATCTCCTTTTTCCCAGCTACTCGGGAGGCTGAGGCAGAAGGATCGCTCGAGCCCAGGAGTTTGAGGTTGTTGTGAGCTAGGCTGATGCCATGGCACTCACTCTAGCCTGGACAACAAAGCGAGACTCTGTCTCAAAAAAAAAAAAAAAAAAGAGAGAGAACAAAAAGACAACCCACAGAGCAGGAGAAAATAGTTGCAAATCATATATCTGATAAGGGACTTGTATCCAGAATATGTAGAGAACTCTTACCACTCAGCAATAAAAAGCAATCAATAACCTAATTTAAATGTACATGGATCTGAATAAACATTTCTTACACAAATGGTCAATAAACACATGGCATACATCATTAATTATTAGAGAAATGCAAATCAAAACCACAAAGATACCACTTCACATCCATTAGGATGTCTTTTATTTAAAAAAAAAAAGAAAAGAAAAAAACAGACAGCAAGGGTTGCCAAGGATGTGGAGCAATTGGAACCCTCATACACTGCTGGCAGAAATGTAAAATGTGCAGCTGGCGGAAAACAATCTGACAGTTCCTTGAAAGGTTAAACACAGTGAAACCATATGACTCAGTAATTCCACTCCTAGTTATATACCCAAGAGAAATAAAAGCATATATCTGCAAAAAACTTGTGCATGCATGTTCATAGCAGTATTATTCAGAATAGCCAAAAAGTGGAAACAATCCAAATATCCATCAACTGATGAATGGTTAAACATGGTATAGTCATACAGTGGAATATTACTCAGTTATATAAAGTACTGAAGTGCTAATCCATGTTCCAACATGGATGAACCTTTAAAGCATTAAGCTAAGTGAAATAAGGCAGGCCAGGCGCTGTGGCTCACGCCTGTAATCCTAGCACTCTGGGAGGCCGAGGTGGGCGGATCCTTTTTGCTCAGGAGTTCAAAACCAGCCTGAGCAAGAGCGAGACCCCGTCTCTACAAAAAATAGAAAGACATTGATTGGCCAACTAATATATATAGAAAAAACATTAGCCGGGCATGGTGGCGCATGCCTGTAGTCTCAGCTACTTGGGAGGCTGAGGCAGGAGGATCGCTTGAGCCCAGGAGTTTGAGGTTGCTGTGAGCCAGGCTGACGTCTCGGCCCTCTAGCCAGGGCAACAGAGTGAGACTCTGTCTCAACATAAAAAGAAAGAAGGCAGTCACAAAAGACCAAATATGATTCAATATATATGAAATATGCAGAATAAACAAATATATAGAGACAGAAAGTAGATTACCAGTTGCCGAGGGCTGAGGTGGTGGAGAGTCCCTGCTAAGGGATATAGGATTTCTTTTTGACATGAAGCAAATGTTCTAAAATTGATTGGGGTGATGGTTGCACAACTCTGTGAATATACTAGAAACGATTGCATATTTTAAATGGGTGAACTTGTATGTGAGTACATCAATAAGGCTATTAAGAAAATGAAAGAAAAAGAAAAGTACCATAAAAGTGTTATAGACTAAGATTTAGTTTGATATACAAAGTACTCTGTTCTGTCTCAGAGCACTGGACAGGGTATTCTGTGATGTGATATATGGGGACGCTGTGGCAACATTTACATAAATCCTCTCTCTCTTTTTTGTCTCTTGGATTTTTTTTTCTTTTTTCCTTCTCTCCACACAGAATATTATCTATTCTTTTTTTTTTGTTTTATAAGTTATCTGTTGACCCAATCATGTGAATAACAAAGCAACTGAAGCCTCATTCTCATTGCTCACAAGTCTCTAGCAGCTGAGCCATTATTCTGGCCTCGCCTGTACTTGCTCATGCACCTGCGATCAGCTGTTGATCTTGGCTGGGCTCTCCCACGCACATGCTGGGGGTTGACTGGATGCTGTCGGACTAGAATGGTCTTTGCTTTTCTCCAAATGTCTTTACATTCCTCCAGTGGGCTAGCTGGGTCAAGTTCTCATGCTAAGGCAGAGACGCACTAGTGAGCGAGCTGAAATGCACAGGTGCTTTTCAAGGCCTTGTTTGTTTTGCGTTTGATAACATTCCATTGGCCTCAGTACATTCCCCTGCAGAACCCACAGCAGAGGAGGAGGAACTGCAGAGTTACAAGGCAAAGAGTGGGAAGCCAGGCAGCCTTTAATTGGGGCCATTAATACAATGCATAGTTGGGTTTGTAAGTTCATGTTGATCTGTTTAATAAACTCTAGATATTTTATTTCATATTATGAATTCAGTTATTCTCCCTTAAATTAAAACTCTTCTCTATCTTTGT